CGGAGTTCCACGTGCTCTGACCACCTCACGCCGCAGGACTGGACTCTCCGTGTTGGAAATCAAAACACGCACGCACAGCAAACCCGAGTCTCACTTAAGAAGATGATGAGGTTGAAATCGGTCTTTCCAGGCCGAGCGGTTGTGGTGAAAAGTGCCCTTACTGAGATTGGTTCGACTGCGGTCACGCAACTGTGTGTGCCGTGCAGCAGCAGTGCCTGAGAGTGGCCGCGGGTCCCCTGACCCCTGCCCCTGCCCAGACCCGGCCCTGGGGACCCGCGTCCTGCCCCGTGAGGCGGGTGGCAGGCGGGGGCTGGTGACACTGGGAGGAGGAGGAGGCTGGAGCTCCGGGGCCACCTTAGCCGTCCTCAGACAGAAATGAGTGATAATGGGAAACAGTCATCTCTTCTTTTTTTTCCCCCCTCTTCCCTTTCTTCTTTTTTTTTTTTCCTTCTCAATCTCCTCCAACAGAATATACTGCGGGCCTTTTTTGATTTTTTTTTTTCCCCTAAAACACAAAATCTTTTAGCAATTCCCAAAAAATTGTTTTTTAATAAAACTTCAAATTGTGTTATCGTATTTCAAAGGCAATGGCCAGTTCAAGCAACTAATCAAAGGCATAATTATTTAATGACCGCTGCTCGTGCTCTCTCGGAGGGCTGTAATTGAGGGGCTGTGATCACTGGACCACCAGCCTCCACAATGGCAAACAACCGCCCTTCTTGAAGCATTTGATCTGCCATCTTTGTGGTGGAGCTCCGATAGCTGCCGCGGGTGAAACGATACACTCCAGGGTCATTCAGTCAATCACGTCCCCCCTTCTATGCGGTCATCCGAACCTGAGCAGACTGGTGAAATGCCTACTAGAAACATCTTTGCCTTTTCCATTTAAGGATTTCTCTGGGAATTCCCAAGAGGGTCCTGATCTGTGGCTTGAGAAATCACAGAAACTTTGAGATCCACGGTATCTATTTAGTCAATCAAGTACAAAGATCAGAGTGGAAAAGCAACAGGAGAGTTCCAAACTTGAGACTCTTCTTGCTATTATGGAAACACATTCCTTTAAGCACTAACAGATTTTCTCCCATAAAACTGCTTTGGCCCTAACTTCACAACTTCGTAGCGTGCTCCCTGGTTATTACGAACGATTACACAAGGCCATCATTAACCAGGCAGGGCCTCTGAGAAGCCCTGCAGTGCCTACCCAGCAAAATAATAAAAAATATCTCGTTGCTTTCACTTAAAATTAAATATACCAACTTCACTCGGGTTTCGGCAAGAACTATTTAACTGGAAGAAGTGGAAGACTAATACTATTGCAGAAGCAAAGTTAATTTGGTATTACTTCCATATTGAGAATAAACCATGGCTAATCTCTCTCTCCACTTTTCCTGTAAACTTCTTATCTATTGATTCGCCTTGTTAAGTATAACTCCAGTATAGACGTTCCTACTTTGTGATGTAAGGTGTTGTGTTACCATTGTTTTCCAAACTGTCCCTTTTAACAGTTGCATTGTGGAGGTGGTATATGATATCTTTATGTTAAAACCATTACTTCCAACTCTATGGCAGTAAGAATGCTGTGATCTGTTTAATGCAGACACAGACGGCTCCGTATCAGAATATCTGTGGATACGTGTGTGGACCCAGGTTAGCGTACACATAAGTCTTCCTTCGCCGTCTGCTGAGAGCGCCGAGAAGACACGAAACCCTGGCCGCAGCAAGCGCGCCTCCCCCAGGATCCCGGCTTCTGTCGACACTGCCCAGTGAGAGGAACCAGAGCTCCTCGAGGACACGGCTGATTCCAGGACCACGGCAGGAAAGACACGACATGGCTTGGAGCATCTTGTCGTGCCAGAAAGTAAAGAAAGCTCCGAAATAAACAAAAGAAAACCCACGCTGACGGAGGCGTGTCCAGTGGGCACAGGCACCAAAGGAAAGCGCTCCCAGTGGCCGCGGCGAGAACGATTTGAGCAACGAAAGCAAGCAGTACTGGACCACGGCCTAAAGCCTACGCTAAATACCCATGAGCCCACACAGGTATAAGCAAATGATGGAATAATTTAATGCATGAAGGAGAAGAGCAACTCCCCCCCGGCAGAAGAATTCCAAGTAAGATACTCCACCCTCAGGGAGTAAATTCCCCGCTCCTTAAGTGCACAGCGACTTCCTTCCGGAAGTGCGGAATGGGGTGAGGAGGGGCAGAATGACTCCACAGTGCAGAGACCCGACAAGCACTACCTGAAGCCAGGTGACCGAGGTCCACACCAGCAGCCCTACATCCTACCCACACAGTGCACACCCTCGGTGTGACGTGACACACGTGGCACTTTCCCCTGTGCCCTTCTTCCCTCGACCCAAGACTAACCCTGAGAAAAACGTCACATTCCAGCCGAGGGCACCCTGTAACACGCCTGACTGGCACTCCTCAAAACTGTCAAGGTCATCAAAAATAAGAAAAGTCTGAGAAAACGTCCCAGCAGAGAGGAGCGTAAGGAGACACGGCTACTAACTGCGATGTGGGTCCCCGGACAGAAAGAGGGGGTTCGGTAAAAACTAAGTAGTCCAAATAACGTATGGACTTTAATCAACAACAATGTGTCAATATTGGTTCATCGATTGTAAGAAATGTACCATTCCAAGGAAAGGCGTAAACGACACGGGGAACTGTGTGGGAGGCAAGCATATGGGAATTATCTGTGCCACCTCCTTAAGCTTTCCATAAATCCAAAGCTTTTCTAGAAAATAAAGTCTATGAAAAACACTACCATAAGCATCTTGAACAGGAAGATGATTTTTTTTTCTCTTATTCATTTTAACTGTTTCCATAGAATAAATGGCCAGGAGTAACAGTGGCAAATCAGAGGCTGGGAATATTTTTTAGCTTGGAGCATAAAAAGAAAAAACTACTATCTTGTCACGATGCATCATTTCTTCTTCTCATAAAATTTTACAAATCTGAGACAATTTCAAGTCTTACCACGGCATACACGGCATATGTCATGAGCTACAGAACTGCTTAGAACAGCCACCCCAGCTGGAATTTATTTGTGACTGAAAGACGTGCTGTTTAATTCATGATTGTGAAGACCGGCTTCTGAGTGTGTTTGCTAACTAATATTCTTTGGAGGCAATAATTTATCAACGCCAGTTCTTCTGGATACTGTGTTATCTCCTTGTGTTTCATCTGAAATTGTTGACCCTGAAATTATTTTCCCCCCTTTAACAGATCACAGTGTGTATCTAACCAAAACGTACTGCGCTTGAATGAAGTTTCAGCTAATTTTCAGGATCGGCTTTTAATGATTAGAAGTGAGCTTTGACCCACTGAAAAGAAATGTTTGTGCTTATGTTGGATTTAGATCCCAGCTTCTAATCAGTGCAGAAACATCTTTTTAAGAAGAGTGACAGAGTTCAGTAGAATCGAAGCCTGGAGTCACGCTAAGCTGGCTTCACGAAATGCCCTGAGACACACCTGTGGTAACTTATCTCCTCTGGGAAGGTCTGACCCCAGGAATGGCCTCCAGACCCCCAACTGCCACAGGCAGGGACAAATGGGCACCTTTCCTTAAATAGAGAGGAACAGAGATAAAGTTATATAATAAGAAAAAGCTTGTATTAATAGCTACTAACACATCCAGAAAAAAACTGTCTGAAATAGGAATATCTTACTTGGGTACAAGATACGAAGTGCACATCAACTATTTCCACCAAAGCTCATTTCATCTACAAACCCCCCAAATAAATTGCAAGGAAAAGAAATACTAAAGAAACTGCCTGGTTCCACAGGAATACTGAGTTCAGGACCTGCTGGTTCTAATACATGAATCTATACCACATATGTATTATTTCAGGTTTTTCTCATGTTCTTTCTTTCTGAACTCTCTGGGAAAAAGTTATATAGTAAGTCCTAACTTAATGTCATCGATAGGTTCTTGGAAACTTCAACTTTAAGCAACTTAGTTTCCTTCAACATTATTTCAAGGTAACATTGATGAGAAAAAAATTGGTTTTGTTATATGTCATTTTGCTTAAAGTTGAAGTTTCCAAGAAGCTATTGACGTTAAACGAGGACTTACTATCATTGGAAAGGAAAAAAAAAAGAATGTAACATGCAATTCTCTAGTGATCATGGCATGAAAACTGACCTAGATGGGTGTGTCTCTTTCTGATGGGCACAATAAATTCATGGCTGTAAACTAACTTTTAAGGACATCTGCATGTGGTGACAATGACTTAGAAGTTGGCTTACACATTATTTCTGATGGCAATGAGAGGCAGGAACGATGGTCTATAAGACTATTCCTAATTCACAGCTATAAAACTATATTCGTGGTATCGAAGTTTACTTTGGGCATGCATCAAGGTCATTCAAAAATGCACTCAAATCATTACATACACATTGAAGTGAATGATAAGTCAGAAAGCTGCCCAGCTTAGCACAGCTCAGAGCTGACCCCAACATTCAGGGAACTATAAAGGTGCAGGTTGCACATAATTTCTTGCTCCCATTGAACATGATACTCACTGGCATCACCACCACACAATGATCACCATCACCATCATCATCACCATCACCATCATCATCATTATCACCACCATCATCATCACCATCATCACCATCATCATCATCATCATCACCACCATCATCATCATCATCACCACCATCATCATCACCACCATCACCACCACCATCATCATCATCACCATCACCACCATCATCACCATCATCACCACCATCATCATCATCATCACCACCACCATCATCACCACCATCACCACCATCATCATCACCATCATCACCACCACACCATAATGACCATCACACCACCACCATTACCATCACTACCACACCATAATGACCATCACACCACCATCATCACCATCACCACCACACCATAATGACCATCACACCACCATCATCACCATCACCACCACACCATAATGACCATCACACCACCATCATCACCATCACTACCACACCATAATGACCATCACACCACCATCTCTACCATCACCACCACCACCAGCTCTACCACCACCCCTAACTTCTGCTGAGTCAGGCACTGTGCTGAGAACACACGGCAGCTTTATCTCATCCAACCCTCCCAGCCTCCCCCGAGTGAAGGACCATTCGTTCTATCTCCATGTCAGAGATGAAGGACTCTGCTGAAGCCCCACAGCTGTCACGTGCTGAAGGTGGGTGGGGCCCTGACAGATGGACTCCAGAGCCTGCTGGCCTGCCTTCTACACGTCTGTCTTCTCATTCCTGTCCCTGGAGTCGCGGGAGCTTCTACACACGCCCCAAGTAATCTTTAGCTCCTTCTCCACCAGGGGTAACAGAGCAGAGCTTCCTAAATACTAATACAAATGAAGTTTCCTGACCGGTGTCCCCGTCAGCCTGTCAACCGTACTTTAGCCAGAGCTTATGTCCCTCCTCCGCTTTTGGTGTTTGTGCATCTTTCTTCTATGAAACGATGGTGACACTAGATGGCGGTTGTTGTTTGAAATATCCTTGCCTGGCGAAACTAAAAGTTGGCTAATGAAGTTAGCCCCCCAATTCATTAGCATGATTTGTTAATCCTTGAAATTAAAAATGCCCCGGGTCCACTTTTAGCTAATAACAAGCAATCACGAAGTAATCGTGCCCAAACTGCTGGGCTGTCATGTAAAACAGTGGCCTCAGAGACCCTGGAGTGCTACGTGTAAAAGACGACCCTGTCTGACAGCTTACAGGGAAGGCCCCATAAACAAATGCACTCAGGGGTTCCCTTAAAAAAGGATTCCTACAGAAGGGACTGAGCCACTACGATTAAAAGGGCAGACCAGAACCTTCCATTTGAATGAACTTCAAATTTTTCAGTTGGCAAGAAGATAGATCATTATTAGTTACCCGGGAGACTGACTGCACTGGGAAGCTAGGGTAGCTCAGCAGCTCTCAAAAACGATTTCTCTGACACCTTAACAGGCATCGACACAGATAAACCTGCTGCCACACACTGTGGCAGTCGGCACACCGTCGATACCAAATGTGGCACAAACTGAAGGCACGAGATATGGCCAAGCCCTGACGAAAATGTATTACAAGCTAAAAAATACAGAAGATTAATTTTAAGATAGTACAGAAATATATACTGTTTGAAAATATTAGAAATACAATTCAGAATGATTTATAAAATCATGAGTTATAATATTTTAAAAGGTCTTCATTAAAGGCAATATGTGTGTCCATATGTATGTATACACACACACCCTACACACAAATTAGCTGAGTTTTGTGTGTGCACCTGTAGTCCCAGCTACTCAGGAGGCTGAGGCAGAAGAACCCTTGAGGCTAGAAGTTCAAGACTGCAGTGAGCTATGATCAAATCAGCCAGTGCACTCCAGCCCGGGTGACAGAGTGAGACCTTGTCTCTAAAAAAATTTTTTTTAAAAACCAGGCATCTTTTGATGACCGCAATTTGGCAACATTCTAAAATGACTTTGTTTCCCATTAATCGCAGTATCAATAGGCACTTCTGTCTACACAGACACACACGTGGATGCCAGGCCTGGGCATCTCCTGAGCCCTGCCACCTGAGAGCTGGGGGCTGTCACTCCACCCTCTTCCCGTGGTCCAGGTGAGCTGGGCTTTACGATGAACACAAGGTCCCCAGCAGGTGGCCGAAGGGCTGGCCGGGCTTGGCTCTCACACGAGCTCGTGCTGACGGTGGGACTTGGGTGCTTCTCTGATCAAGACGGTTGGAATTTAAAGGGCAAAAATATTTTAATAAAAGGCCCAGTAGGAGGTAAAGAAAAATGCCCACTCATTTACTGTTCTCACAACTACAGTAGACATTAACTGTGTGTCAAAGCATAACTTAGAGAAGACGCCCGTCAGGTACTAGCTCTGGCCTGTCGAGCGGCAGGGCCGGGGAGGCCGGCACAATCTCCCCGAGCGCTGGGCAGCAGAGGGGCTTCCAGCGCCGTGCAGGTCAGCAGCTGCCCGCCAGCAGGAGCTCCGTGTTGTAACTGCGGGGAACTACATGACAATGGCTGCTGCTAATCGCTTATTGAATAATGAAACTGACACGCAGACAAAAGATTTCAATCTTGAGAAAAATGATTTATCGTGGCTCAGTTTACTGGCACTGCTATTTGGGTGACAAACGGTTGGCAAGCCTCCAGTTAATCTCCGCACACCTCCGCGCCCGCCGTGGCGGCTTCGACTCGCACATGCAAACCATGAGCAATCGCTGATGACACCGCACTCGGGCGGCCAGGGCTGCAAACGGGGAGTTCATCAAGGCTGGCCTCCAGATGCATTGCACGATGCGTTTTTTTTTGGGGGGGGGCAATGTGTGAGGAAGAGAAGAGCCGGAGGTAAGAAAGAAAGAGGACCACCACCACCACTGCCACTACCACTCCTGCCACTACTGCCACCACCACCGTTACCACCACCACCCCTACCACTACTACCACCGCCACCACCACCATTACCACCACCACCGCCGCCACTACCATGCCACCACCACTATTGCCACCACTACCACCACCATCATCACTACCACTGCCACCACCGTTACCACCACCACCCCTACCACTACTACTACTACCACCACCACCACCACTACCATGCCACCACCACCACCACCGCCACTACCATGCCACCACCACTATTGCCACCACTACCACCACCATCACTACCACTGCCACCACCACTACCGCCACTACTACCACTGCCACCACTACCACCGCCACCACCACCACCACTACCGCCACTACCATGCCACCACCACTATTGCCACCACTACCACTACTACCACCACCACCATCGCCACCATCACTACCACTGCCACCACCACTACCACTGCCACCACTACCACCACTACCACTACTACCACCACCACCATCGCCACCATCACTACCACTGCCACCACCACTACCACTGCCACCACTACCACCACCACCACTACCACCACTACTGCCACTACCACCGCCACCACCACCACCGCCACTACCATGCCACCACCACCACCAACACTACCGCCACTACCATGCCATCACCACCACCACTACCATGCCACCACCACCACCACTACTGCCACTACCATGCCACCACAACTATTGCCACCACTACCACTACTACCACCACCACTACTACTGCCACCACCACTACTACTGCCACCACCACCACCACTACCACTACTGCCACCACCACCACTCGTGCCACTACTACCACCACCGCCACCACCACCAAAGACATTAAGGCCACAGCTTGCAGTTAGGCATGCAGAACATGGTTCTAAGACAGAGAAAAAGAATGACCAACAGGAGAAAAGCAGAAATGACTTCCGGCTGGCTCTGTATGGCTCACAGATTTTCTTTATGGCAAAATCTGACCTTCCGCCCCAAGTGCCGTGGAGGCTGTCGGTTAGCCCGCCGTGCAGGGCTGCCGTGCCCGGCACACCTGCCTCCACCCAGGATGCGCAGAGTGCATTTCTTCTCCGAGGAGACCTGTTTCTTTTTACTGTGGGAATGTGGTGGGTAGTGCAGCTTTGAGTAAATTAAAGACTTATTTATAAGCAATACTCCAAATAACACATTTCCTACTGTGGCATTGTATGTTGGATCTTATTCTAGTTTTGGTTTAAAAAAAGAAATCAATTAAATTCACTGTGCTCTTCCCCCGGGAAGTTCATGCAACGTGGAAACCAAAACAACTTGGCATGTGAGCTCTTTATTCTTGTGTGGTTCGTAGGCCATCGGGTTGGGGAGAAGTCAGGATTAAATAAGATAATGCATGGGTGCGGTTGGGACACAGCTTGGTAGAAAGTAAACTCTCGATGCATACTAGCTAGGATGATGACGGTAAGGACCTACTCTTCAACTTTCAAGATAGAAAGGAACAACCTTCTACTCATACTACTGTTGTATCCACAGGTGGATTCAAGACCCACTCAAGTGTGGGCACTGAAAGACATCAGTTATGTGAAAAGAAAGAAGCATGGAGTTGTGCCCTATAAATTACATTATCTTTATCCACTTTTGTATAGCATGAAAATGACAGAGATCATCCCTAAATATAACCAACTTTCAGGTATGCGTAAAGCACAGGTATGGAAAAAATGCTCAATACGTTGGATTTCCAACAAAAATGGATTTAGACACTAAGATTATGCTGTTTTGCTGACATGAGAAAATGAAGCTACATGGTTATTAAAAAGGACCCATGGAAACCGTGTTACACGTCACTCTGGAGATATGCCAAGGGTGTCTTAACTTGAGCCTGGAGTTCTACAGCAACGAGAGGCTGGGGAGTGGGTGTCTGGTTGGGGTCCCAGGAAGTTGTCCGCACTGCAGCAGTCCCGTGGGGCAACCTTAAGGTTCATCATAACTGTCTAAGCTGGAAACGCCACCTAGACTTACATACCTACAGACATTTGGAACATGCCGGGTTTCCGTATTAGCAAAATCCCACTTGTCCACTGACTCTTTCCCAAATGAGAGGCGAGGAGGTTTCAGGAAACCGGGTAAGTGACGAAAACACGGTGTTCTTTGGTGGCCCCAACATTCCCCAAAGCGTGTTTGAAAATGCAACGGTGCAGACTGGCAAACCAGTTTGGTAACAAAGAGTTTAAGTAAGGTAAACGAGTGTTGTTTTTTTAGCGGAGAGCTTCTCGCTTCTCGGAGCCTTTCGTTTGGTAATGAACATCTAAAGCTCCAAGAGGGAGACAAGACCATGCAACATTCTCCAAACATTTTCTTTCCGAGTACCTTGCTGGATTCTGCTTCCACGATGCAAACATTTGGAAACACTGGTTTATATCACATAAAACCACACTTGTAGAAAAGAAATACACTGGAAATGCAATTAGTACCCCCATGTGGGCTCCCGGAGGCACCCTTCCTCCTCTGCTCTGAGAACTAGTACCCATCCAGCACACACCACGTGTGTGTTGTGCCATGCTGGGCTTTCGGGACGTATGAGACTAGTCTCTTGCGCTTTTGGGCTTTCAATCTAGTTGAAAAGTAAAGAAAAACCCAAGCAAAATGTTTCAAGCAACTGTAGCATGTCACAATACAAGGCAGACCAGGCTGCCCCAATAACGTAATTATCATCTGTACTGTCAACCACCCCAGCAAAAAAGAGTCAGGTGTTTTACTGTACAACGGTAAACAGGTAGATATCCTATTTATCCTATCCATATTTAGGAAAAAGAACTTCAGAAATTAACTAGAGCCTCTGCTAAAGTCATTTTCAGGCCACACGTATGAAAAGAATCGTGCCTTAAAATAAAGTGGTTTTTCTTCACTTATAACGAGAACTAACTTTTGCTACTATTTTACCAGGGCACTTTCGGCGTGAGAGGCTGTCCCGGTAGTGCAAAGACGTTTCCAGTCTGACTACGTGGCCAGGCAGGCCCTCCAGTGCCCAGAGCAGGTCTGGAGGAGAGGCGTGCACAGGAACCCGACCGTCAGGAGGCTGAGATCAGCTCCGGGACAAGGGTCTTGGAGCAGTGCCCTGTGTCTGTGTGGAAAAGCCCGTCTGCCCCACAGCCTGCACCCTCCACGGATGCCTGCCACACGGACTTGTCCCCAGGTGCGCAGGACCCCAGTGGCCGGGATGCTCTGGGTGAATTGAAGAGTCACCTTAAAAATCTGGTCCAATGCCACTTAATGCATAATCTCTGAGGATTACTGTCTTCAACATTCCAAAAGCACAATTTAAACAAGTGATCTCTTATGTCAGAACACAACGATGTCCCCGAGCCTTTCTTAGGCAGGAAAATAAAATCTGTAAATATACTGCATGCAGTCTGGCTCCCAAGAACGATACTTCGGTGTACACAAATTGAATCCCGAGAAAGGGATGAGTGGCGGGCTTTCTCTCTATGTGGAGGGCCCGCCACTGCCCGGCGCCAGGCCCCGTCCTGTGCGTGTGCGTAGCATGGGAGCTCGCTGAACCAGACGGCAGTCCCGGGAGGGAGAGGACCCAACTGCTCCCAGTCTGCAGCTGAGAGCACTGAGGCAGGGGAAGGTGAGGAACCTACCCAGGCCACCCTGTAGTAGGAGGTGAAGCTGCGATCAAATCCAGGAAGCCTCAGTGCCTGGCCACCCTGCCTCTACCTGCCTAATTTCCTGTTGCCATCACAAGTGTTGTCCACTGACGGCCACCTGCCTGGGATCTGCCATGTCCTGTGGACAGAGGAGACGCCAGGTGAGCAGATTCCCGCTGGACCCCGAGAGATGAGGGAGAAAGCCGGACATTCGCATGGTTGGGTGTCTCACTTTCATGGACAGCAAGATTCCAGGCATTTTTTAAAAGTCTGAATCTGTGGAGAACCTTCACTTTCTTTTTTTTTTTTTTTCCCCCGACTCACAATTCAAGAAGACATTATAGGAGACAATCAGAGGTAAAAAAGAACATTTTCCGAAGTCAGAGCAATGAGAAGAAATAAAACCCTTACAAGAAATATTTCAGCGAAAGAGAAATCTCTTCTTCTTCATTAGGATTGGGAACTGCAGAAGGAAATGCCTTAATTACCCATGAAGCAAGATAACCTTATGTGATTGCCTTCATTTTAAGAGTATACTAGAAAGGAGAATAACCAGTAATAAATGTGCATGTCTTTTTTTCCAATTTTTGGAAAATTCTGATGCCATTCACCAACCTTTGGAAATAACTCTATATGGAATGAAATTATTAAAAAAAACTTTTTTGTATTTCACCTTCATTTTTTATTTTAAAGAGTTGGGGTCTCACTGTGTGGTCCTCCCCGCTCAGCCGGCTGAGTAGACCTTCTTCCCTTTAAACTGCCAGTGATACCCATAAAAACATCCATTTTTCTTTAGCATCCCTTTGTATTTGATGGTTCTCTGGACCCCTTTTTAAAGCTACACAATTTTCTGATTCATCATCCTGCTTGGATATAACGAATCCTATACATACCAGAATATAATTATATGTGGAGAACAAGTTAGAAGATATAGAAATACTTTTATACTGACCCTTCTAAGTTAAAGGATGAAGAAATAAGAAATAATAATTCTTTGAAAATAAAATGTAATGTTCCTCCAGTTATATTATCAGAGAACCATGACAACACAGAAATCAAGGTGAAAGTCAGCTTGTTTTGAACAACACAGGAGAACACAAATGAGTGCACAGCACATGACATTAACTACGGACAAGAGCCAAGTGTGACGTGGCCATCGCAGCTACGGGGAAAACACAGTTCCCCTGGCAGGAAGGTGCCCACCTCTGAGGCCCACCTGGCCGCAGCCTCGCCTCTCTGGGGTCTCTGCTCCACGCTGTCCTCAGTAAGCCCTTCTTGGCCGCCGCCTGTGCAGAAAATCACCCCGTCCACCCTGGTGGTCCCAAGTCCTCTCACTCTGCTTTATTTTGTTCCACTGCATTCATCACGGTCTGACCTAGCTGTATATTTTCTTACTGTATTTGCGTCCAGTTATATTTTCCAGGAATGGACATGGCGATATTTCAGGTCCACACGCTCTTGCAGAACCCTGCCACGCTCCACCAGGAGGCAGAGTCTGTTTCTGCGGCCCTGGGTCCCAGGTGGACTCCACGGCTGTGCTGACTACATGCGGGGTGAACAGACACCTCCTCTGAGCAGGTCACAGAGGAAACGCAACTTCCACCCAGCTCTGGGCCTCCCCCGTGCGATGCCTACCCTTGGAGCACGGCCAGCATGCTGGAAGGAAGCCCCGGCCACACGCAGAGGTCGGATGCAGGTGTTTCGGGTGACGGCCCCAGCTGAGGTCCCACCCAGAAGGCAATACTCAGACACGTGAGTGACTGGGACTCTCCACGCTGCCAGCTCATGGCCTCTCAACCTTCCAGGGAGGCTGCGGGTTCCTTGAAGCAGACAGCAGCCTTCCCAGCTGCACCGTCCTAATTCCTGGCCCGCAGAGGCTGTGGGCGACGTCTCTGGGGGAGCTCTGCTCTACGGGTGGACGGACGCACGCCTGCTGGTCTGCACGGCTGGACACAGCGGCACGTGTCAGTGGAGGGGGATGGGTGCTTTTCGAGGAGGACTTGTCTTGAAAGCAGCAGCTACTGTTCAAATAGTAACTTTGTATCTTGTTTTAACAGAACAGATAATGATATTTGAGCTTTCCCTGTCTGAAATTTGATTTAACCCAATAAAACAGCCTGGGTGCAATGGCTCATGCCTATAATCCCAGCACTCTGGGAGGCTGAGCTGAGAGGATCACTTGAGGCCAGGAGTTTGCAATCTGTCCTGGCAACAGAGTGAGATCCCATCTCTATAAAAAAAAAAAAAATTAAAAATCAGCCAGGCATGATGATGAACTCCTGCAGTACTAGCTACTTGGGAGGCTGAGCCAGGAGGACCGTTTGAGCCCAGGAATTTGAGGTTGCAGTGAACTATGATCTCACTCCACTGCTCGCTAGCCTGTGTGAGACCCTGTCTCAAAACAACAACAAAACAAGGTAGTAAAAACATGAAAAGGTCATAACAGATGAGGAATCCCATGGTGGAAGCCTTGGGCAACGTAAGCATAGCTTCTGGGGCCTCAAGCCCTTGGCCCTGCTGGTCCTGTCCACAGTCCTGTCGACCTTAACCCAAACCACTGGATCCTAACCCTGGCTGCACAATTGAATCCCCTGGTGCTCAGGCTACCCCTCACCCCGGAGGCCAAATGAATCCACATCTCAGTTTTAAATCAGTGGTTTAAACATTATCCTGGGAGCTGGCCAGCCAGCCACCCCTTCGCCCCCTCTTCGTTGCCCTCTGCGCCAGAGGAGACATGCGGTTCCCCTTCTCCGTCTGTCCCTCCCCATGGGTGGCTGATCTGACCCTGGCACTCTTTGGCCTTTCCTGCAGGGACTGACAGCTTGCCAGTGTCTTCAGTCCTCCCCTGGGTCCTCCCCGCCCCCCAGGGCTGCTGGACTCACTGTTCTTCCTCCAACCTACCCGTAGGAGCCGGCGGAGCCTAACTCTCCTGCTCCCTCCCGTTTCTCCTGCATCTTCCCCGATAGCTCCACGCGCAGCCTCACGTCCTCCTTCCATGCAGGCCACCCCCAGCCACACGCCGCCCACTGTGCCCGGGACAGACTCTCCCTGCAGCCCAGCTCGTCCTCTCCTCTCCCTTACCTCCCCCCACACCCATCACCGCTGAGCTGAGGACCATCCTGATGTCTTCTTTGGCTCTGCTCTTCTTCCACCCCCGCGGTACCAGCTGGGAGCAGGTCTCAGGAACCAGGATTTTATTCAGGACGTCCTGGCTTGCAAAGTCCCCGGAAGTGCCGAGGAACTTGGTGAAGCCGCACACAGCAGCATCACTGCCACACTCCTGGACCGCAAGCCCTGGTGGGCGGGGTTGCAGTGCACAGCAGTGTCCCCTGTGTAGTGCACGGCCAGTGATGCTTGTTATCAGCTTGAGTCAAAAATACCTCAATTCCAAGGAAGTAGCAAGCTATGAAGATCTAGCGTTGCCTACGTCTTGAATGACAGTTACCCTACAGCACTATCTGAGGGACGTCCCCAGGGATGCAAACTCTCAGGAACAGGAAAATTAGAAAAACTCTACAATCATCATCAGCCAAGGAAGCCATGGAACATGGTCACGGCGATTGCACCTGCTCCTCAGGACACCTGCACTAATGCCTGTGGGACCCCCCTGGCAAAGATGCATGGGCACGAGAGCACCACCACCACCCTGGGTGACAACAAACCACCCTTTGGAAAATCACCTGAGTGATGAAAACTGGGGTAGCGACAGTAACACCCCATCTGGGAAATGCGTGTCGATCACATCAAAAAGGGGGGGGCGTCCAGGGAAGGAATGCCAGCCACAGATTCCAAAGTGAAATCCGGGAGGCTCATCTCGGCCAAAGTGGAGTCGGCAGAAAAAAGGAATAATAATCTCTCACCTCTAAGATTCCATTTAGCCACTGGGCCACTCATTACTGGAAAGTTATAGAAAAAATGCAAGTGTTTCAGAGACAATGGAAAAAAGCTGACCTCTGCAGGCAAACCAAAACAATGAGAAATGCCCACGTGCCCCGACTAAGCAACTGATGCTCGGGGAAAACAGCCGCGCTCTGCAGAGAACGTTTACCCGCAAGTATAGAAACCGCTTTCAGAGCATCTGATGATGGGAAACTCTGAGGGTCAGCTCAGGCAGGAACCGTCGTCACTCACATACCCATAAGAAGGAGTTGTAACTAAGAACATTTAGCACTTTTTGTTTTTATTTTTTGGAAAGGAAATTTTAACGTGTTTAGGTCACGTATTTTTGTAACTAATGGGGGGGGGGGCTAAGAGTTGATTTGCTCAGTTATAGGAGCCTCTTTAATTCCACATTCCGGATGAGGAATAAGTGAAGTCAGACAGTGATGTAAGAAAACAGAGAATCTGGAGGTTCATCAAAAAAGCTAAACACAGAATTACCACGTGACCCACAATTCCACTCCTAGGTCTATGCGCTAAAAAAATTGAAAACAAGGACCCAAATAGATACGTGTGTGCCAATGTTCATTGCGGCATCATTCGCAATAGCCCAAAGGTGGAAATAATCCAAGTGTCCACCAATAGATAGATAAACAAAACGTGTTAAATCTACACGATGGAATACTATTCAGCCATAAAAAGGAAGGGCGTCCCGAGACACTCTACGACGTGCAACACTGTGCTAATGAAAGAAGCCCGGCACAAAGGACAAATACGGTGTGATTCCATTTATATGAGACGCCCAGACCAGCAAGTTCACAGAGACAGAAAGCAGATTAGAGGTTGCAGTGGCTGGGAGAAGACGAGACTGGGAGGTTAATCTCTGTTTGGAGGCATGAGAATGTTTTGGAAGTAAATAGTGACGATGGCTGTATAACACTGAGAATGTGTGAATATAATTAACGCTACTGAATTGTACCTAAAAACAGGGCTAAAATGGCAAATGTCATGTCATATACGGTCACAAGTTGCTTAATGACGGGGGTGGTTCTGAGAAAGGCATCTTCAGGCGATTTCACTGTTGTGCGAACGTCACAGAGTGTACTCGCACCCACGAGACGGTGTGGTCCCATGCCTCCCCACTGCGGCCACACGCCCGCACGGCACGGCAGCGCACCGAACGCCGCAGACGGCGGCAACACAGTGGCTCCGTATTTGCGCACCTGTACTAACCTAAGGTACAGTGAAAGCGCTTACAGCCTCATGGGACCACCATCATACGTGTGGGCCACCTTTGAAAGATCTTTATGTGGCGCGTGACACAATTAAAAAGCTCAAAAAAGAAAAAAAAATAAGAAACGGAGAAAAAAGATTAAGGTATGGATGTGCAAAGAAGGAAAGAGAAAATGGGAGAAAGTCTTAGAGAAAAAAGGAGAACCGGAAAGGAAGACTGAATGAGGAAGGGGGCCAGGGCTCGGGGCGCAGGGGGGAGACCAGCACTGGAGGGGAGGCACCCCGGGCCCGCCCAGCCCTGCGCCCCGCAGCAATGCCGGCGCCCCGCCACCCCAGCACCCGAGCTCCTGCTGCAGCCCTGTCCCGCTGGCCCCCCTGGGGTCTCCCCCAGTCCCAGCATCCCGGCAGACCCGACTCTGAGCTAATGGTCCTGCCGCAGTGAGCACCTTCACCCAGACCCGGACGGCTCACGGCATGTTCTGTCTGCTACTGAATTGTACCCTAAAACAGGGCTAAAAGTCACTGATCCTGACAGTGTGGAGCAGTATTTTGAAATACTTTTTAGGGGTTGGGACAAAAATTAAAGCAAGAATTACATTTGGCCTATAAATTAATGGGTTTCAAATCCTGTATCCTGGGCAAACTCAGCTGCTTAGCTGGCAATCGTAAATAGAAGGTTACAAGTCATTTTTGATAGTAACATTTTATTTTTTTATTAAAGTTTTTTTTTTTTTTTAACAGGGTCTTGCTCTGTTGCCCAAGCTAACTGCAACTGCCAACTCCCAGGCTCAAGTGATCCTCCTGCCTCAGCCTCCCAGGTGGCTGGGACTACAGGTGCATGACTGGCTAATTTTTCTAATTTTCTGTAGAGAGAGAGTCTCACTATTTCCCAGGCTGGTCTTGAACTCCTGGCCTCAAGCAATCCTTCTGAATCCCAAAGTGCTGGGGTTACAGGCATGAGCCACTGTGCCTGGCCTCATTTTAATCTTCAAATGTGCGGAATGAAAGAAAATCAGTTGCTCATGGATGACATTCTGGAACCACTCAGGATAAGACAGTGCCAAGTCTGGATGAGATGATGCCAAGGGCTGGCTCTGTCCCCACCCGTCCACCAGCAGGCTGGGTGGGGTGTTTCTGTGCTGTCCAAAGGGAAGTGGGGCCCAAACCCACTCTGCCCCTTCCCTACGCCTGGGACAGCAGGAGGAGGGCGAGGGAGGTTGAGAACACCTGTCCCCAGCACGTCCCTGGA